TAATTTTTTTAAGATCCTATTCCCCATTTTAAATTAATTTTTTTTAATAAATTTGTTTCTTTAGTGTTATTTTTATGTCCATGTTGGACATAAATCTGTATAATAACAATACTGCCTTGTTTGAAACAGTTTGGTTTAATGAAATACGTAGTTGATGTAAGATGCTCTGTTAGAAAACAGTGACAACCTTTGGATTGGTTTCTTGCAGACTGGATGGCTGTTGCTCCTGATATCATAACCACAATGTTATCATTGATAGTGATACTAATTGTATGATCACTGTGATGTATGGTGATCAACATACCATATGTTATTTATATACTAGTATAAAATATATAATTACTATATCTATGTCTTGTAGCTCTATGTAGGAAGTCTGTAAACACTGGATTGGATGGAATACTGAACTATACTGGAATGATGCATGTACTGGATTTTGTAACCGCGTGAGTTTTATACATGCATGCTGGCTAGTATATATATATTATCAATATTTTAAAATATAATTCTTTTGCCAACTGTCAAAATAAATGGCTTTTACTTATACTTCTTAATAGTATAAATATATACTGTATTGTCGTTGGGCTTAGGATTCTTCTACAGTAGGTGTCTGACTTGTTGACGATAAATTCAACAGTAAATGAATAACCCGCATTCCTCTTGTTTTCAAAATAATATATATATATTCCGCACAAGTTAAACCTATGTACAATAAATTCTTCACATTATTGAGATTACAGGCATATCATAAACACTCTCAGTTCTATTTTTATTGTCAAAATTGCACTTAGGCCTATTCAATTACTTTAGAATTTCAGTTGACAAGTCGAACTACCTTCTCTGTATTACTATCGTACTAGTATTCTGTGTGTGATTCACTTACAATTGTGGCGCGAGTTACCGTGATTGTTTCGTCTTCTTTCTTCTAAATATCCTCTGTTCCTTTTGTCAAAGTGCACTGTGGCTGATTCAACTACTTTAGAACCACGCTTTAACGGAATGAAATATTTTTCTTATCTCCTTTTCTACTGTTAGTCTTACAGAAACATATTAAACGTTAGGTCTATCACTTCTACGGTAATTAACTTCACGCCGAACTTTTCCTTGCCGTAACTTTACTTTCTTTTCCTATTGTCTCTCTGCTGTTTCCGCTCGTCTCGCACTATTTATATCTCTATCATTTAATCGTCTGCCCGCCTTCTAGAAACCTATATATTTTCGGCGTCAATGTTTTGCACGCGACGTTCGATAGTCTCAACATCAATGAATTACAAACACAACTTCCTACAATCGTCTGCTTTTGAACTCTTATTATAACAGAAATTAAACAATAATATAATATTCACTCTCAAAATAAATTAATCAATAATATCTAAACTAAACAGTCTTTTATATCATGGCATACACGCAGGCTTTATAGTTGTTTTAAGTCGTAAAGTTGTATGTATAGACAGCCATATGCAAGCATATATATTCAATGAAAATATAAGAAATTCTGTTATAATATATTAGGATATGTATACAAATAAGCACTTTTAATATTTCTTGTAGTTGTTATATTTCCATAGTAAGGCCGGTCATGGTTTTCCTGCAGCTGATCAAATTTCCAGTGACATTCTACACACTCTACAAGGTCGAAAACGTGTTATTTAAATACTATGAATTGATTATATTGTTACGTCTCTGGTCGCTAGTTAATTTCCCGTATAATTTCTTTCCGATGAAACTTTAGCGACACAAGTCCTTTCTTAAATAAAACTAGTTTATTCTTTCTCAATTCAACTTTGTAATACACTTAATTTCCACAGTCACGTTATAACTTAAACAAACGCTATATGTCACAACGAACGAACGATTCACGCGCTTGGCTCAATTGTCGTCTGTATCTCTGTCTGCAATTCAACTACATTGTTGCCGTCACTTCTTACCGGTCTTATATACAAGAATACCGTACATCTAGTAACACTCGAGGATTCACGAACCTTCGAGAATATGACGTGTTACTAGCGTTACGTGACCCCCGCTGTGGTAACAATGTTAACATACCCCCTGGTGGATCGTCGTTGCTGCATAATTTATCTGAAACTAAAGATTTTCTAAACAAAATGTATAGTTACAACATTTCTGCCTCACTTTCGCCTAGAATCGTCATAATTTTCGCCACCTCCTGCTTGCACGATTCTTGGCACTCCTTATAATCAGTTTCAAGGATGGCTGCTCCATCTTCAGTATCTATAAAATTCTCACTCATGCAGTGTTGGCTATAATTCGATTGCCGATTCGATGCTTGAAACTGAGCTTAGTGCTATCTTTTAAACTACGACTTAAAGATTTCGGTTGTGGGAGACAACCTAAACGTTTCTACAACGTTTTAGTTGGTGTGTAATATTTTAGACATTTGTGTAGCATGGCCGAAATCGATCATGCAGTAGTAAAAAAAAATGTGATCCTGTCAGCACTGTTGTGTCCGATAGGGCAGGAACCCTATATATAAACAAATGATACTCGACATAAGTACAGTTTCAAAACTACCCTATACAATACGCAATGACGCGTTTAGTAATATTGTCTAGATTTTATTGCAATAGCCACAGCCATTTTTGCTGTAGGCTGGCGGAACAGTATTAAGTAATAATAAAAAAGACAAATGGGCGATCCCTATTATGAGCCACGATACAATTTCATACGTCAATCTTAACTTTTATACAGAGGGAGTTTAAAAAATTTTGGTGAATAACAATACAAAAGACTAAATTAAGTAGAAGGTTAAAATAATTTCAATAAACCTGACACAGACTATTATCTTCCAGAGCAAAATGATTAAATACACTGACAGTATTAACACGTGGTATTCTATTAGAATACTGTAAGTGTATTTAATCATTAGTTGTAGAATGTAGTAGAGTTGTACCAATAGAATACCCCGTGTTACTACTGTAAGTGTATTTAATCATTAGTTGTAGAATGTAGTAGAGTTGTATTGTACCAATAGAATACCACGTGTTCTGTACTACATTCTACAACTAATCACAAGGTCTGGGATGGCCTGATTCTTAGGAAACACATCACCGAACATGATCGCCCTTATAGCTGGGAGGGCGTTATAATGTGACGGGTAATCACATTTTTCGTTGGTACAAAAGTAGCCTAAGAGCTGACGATGGGTATTGTTGACTAGCTGCCTTCCCTCTAGTCTATCACTTCTAAATTAGGGATTGGTAGCTTTGATCGAAATTCGACAAACCAAATAAACTAACTACTTATCAACATCCACGATGTTAGAGAAACACGTAGGTTCAAGAAGTCTTGATAGAAATTAATAAAAACCCTATAACCCGAGCGCTTTCAAAAGGTGGACCTTTCTTCTTCAGGGGCCCCTGAAGAAAAAAATCTCCACCTTTCAAAAGCGATCTGGTTATAGGGTTTTTTATTCATACTTATCAACACCAGTAACATTAAAATTTGAAGATTTGGTCATAATAAATGTTTTTCAAACTTAGTTTATTTTACCTAAAACCACTATCCTATGATAACTAAATATAAAATGTTGTCCATCATGCTCTTAAAACGTGAATTTTATCATTTCCTCTAATGTGCCATCTTTGATATAATAGAGTAGTGGAAACGTAAAGGATAAAACCACAAAATTTATACAATAAATCTGTAAGAGAAAATGACAGTCTTAACTATCAGAGGAGTGAGGGAGAAAGAGTACGACAAAAGACAATGACCGTCGTTTGAATAAGGCCAGGAAGCAGTCGAAGAGCGAAGGATGTGTCATAAAAACAGTGTCTGTCTGTGAAGAATCTACTCGTCCATTCGTTAATGTTAGCGACTGATCTCTTTTCTTTTTATTTTGATCTCAGAACTCTTCTGTCGAGCTCTAAAAAACAAACTAAAGTGCTGATTAAGAGAAGAGTGGAAGGTATAACTGGAGCCTTAAGTTCGTATAGCTGCTGACTGGTGCATGCTATTAACCCAGTTCTTCTGACAAGAACGTCGCTGCTAATTTGACTACATTTTGAATGATATTGAACCAACGTTCTCCTAGCGAAATTAAAGAAACAATGACCCCATGTGGTGAACTGATTAAAGAACAAAGGTTGAAAAAAGTGACTTTTTTTTTTTCTCGTAGAACCGAACAATTACTAGAATAAAACTAACGTGTTCGACAAAACCTAACAAAACGCTGAACTAAAATGAAAGCAATAGGTCTCATGCGAAATAAGCTTAATTGAAATAAAAAAATCATGTTTACGTTTCTGCAAAAAAAACGACAGTATTTTAAGTACTTTCCTGCAAAAGGAATATGTTAATATCTTGGCTAATTCTGAGATACTTTCCTGCAAAAGGAATATGTTAAGATCTTAGCTAATTCTGAGATACTTTCCTGGGAAAGTATCTCAGAATTAGCTAAGATCTTAACATATTCCTTTTGCAGGAAAGTATCTCAGAATTAGCCGAGATCTTAACATATTCCTTTTGCAGGAAAGTATCTCAGAATTAGCTAAGATCTTAACATATTCCTTTTGTGCAAAAGGAATATGTTAAGATCTCGGCTAATTCTGAGATACTTTCCTCCAAAATGAATATGTTAAGATCTCGGCTAATTCTGGGATATTAAAATCCACAAACGAAAAACATTGTATACTACACAATTAAAATCTATATTTAAATCGATCACTGGTTGTAAAAGCCACTCTAAATGTTTCAACGTGATTTCACGTCATCTTCAGTAGAGCGACTTTATACATATATACACAAGTTCCTTGAATTATAATCTCTGAATAAAATTTGAGATAGTTTTCTGTAAAAGAAGTATGTTAAGATCATAGCTAAGCCTAAGACCAAAAGTGTTGAATTTGGTTCGATTTTAAACATGATATTATTGACTTTCTTTAAAACTGTATCAAAGAGAAATGACGCTTTTAGGACATCGGGTTCAAAGTTGACTGAGACATGTAATTGGTGTCTCCTAGTTAAACTAATATTTATCTTACCTTGACTGAATATAAAATTGGCCAGATAAAGGTCAAGCTCTCGGACGGACACGTTAATATGGAACGGGTTCACACAAAGGCTAGAATGGAGACATTCTGGTGACTTCTCTAGCCGTTCTCCATCTGTGCTTTCCAGAGGAATGGCCTTGAACAGAATCACCATCACCAAGTCCAGCCGCCAAACCTTTAGAAGATTAATACATGTTACTGGGAGGGGTCAGTGTCACAGGAAATAGTTGTAAATAATAACCACCGTC